AAAACCCATGATATAATTAGCAACCTTTTATACACGTTGGCACAACATGCACAAGGAGAAAACAAAATCTTCAAAGTTATAAATAATCCGATTTAACCTCAACAACATAAACAACACCACACCATCGACTCTCATATCAATATCGCTTTACATAGCTAACTATAAAACTATATATCAAATGTTTTATTGTCATGGCAATAAGATTCCATGATTTATTATTATTATTATTATTATAATTTATTCGGCAATTCACAACAAATATAACGATGTGAATATGAGTATAAAACAACCATTAAGATAATGTCAATTTTAAATGCACAATCTTCCTGGAGGTCCATTGAGTGCATCAGTTGGCTGCCGGGGAAGAGGTTAGCAAACTTAATCCCTGTAACCTAATGGTCCCTCTTCCCGACCAACTGGTCCACCCAGAAGACCTGCAAAATATAGCATGAAGGGAAATAGAATGTATTGCATTTCATAAAAACCAGCTAACAAAGGCAAGGCACAAGGAGGAAATCAAATTTTATATTTAATTTTTGTTTTTGTTTTTTGTTTTTTGATGACACTAGGTCATGAAACGATACTGAACATAAACATGAGGAATTAATTCTGACCTAAAAACTATTGCATAAAATGCCAAGTAGGTAAACTGAAACCATGAAGTATAAAACTGAGAAAAGAACACAAATATGAGAACATGTAGCAGCGCAATGACAAGAATGTCTAAAATCATACAAGTTGACCGGTATATAGAAGTTTTAAAAAAACATGGTAAAGGAACTGCTTAGTAGGCTTCAGGCGAGTAATTAAAGAAACTAGGAGAACGTATACATTAAAGAACAATTTATATTATATTATACAAACAATATATAAAGAAGCTCCGTTAAAAATATTCAGAAGATGTTTAAAGAAGCGAGAAGAAAAAAAAAGACTCCAGAGACATAACAATGATAAAATCAAAATTATAGCTTCGGCTCAGAAATATTATAGAGAAGTAGACAAATAAATGATTACAAAACATACCGTAATTATTACATTAACCTCTCGTAAATTGAATTAAAAAACAAGTTCAAAAGAAAAAGTTAATCAAAGAACTCAAACTGAATAAAAACGCTAAATAATTAAACCTCCAATCAAAATCATGAAAAGATTACCGTACAAACAACTACTGCATAACACTTATTGCAACAAATATTTTGTATTTTATGATACAATGTCTTTATTCGCTTTCTAAAGACTTTGGAAATATTGTCACCAGTAACCATCACCACCGCACAGTGAATTCAAAAAATAAATCCTTCTAGGTAGGCCTACCCACTTATATAGTACATACGGGTGTTGCGTGACAAATGTAGATCAATGTCTTTCGAGAGGACATCGTTGCTTTGTAGGAGCTCGTACCCGCAACCTTCATATGCTCAATCCCGTATTCGAGGTACTCATTTAGGGCACCTCTTATAAGGACGTGGTGTTACTGCTTAGGCCTTAGGTTGAGTGACTAGAGACAACGGCTTGGTTTTGTGTTGGACCTACTGGAGCTGGAGCGACTCGGATCAACCTCATACCAGGCTTAGCTGCACTTCCCTGACAAAACAAAATGGTAGATAACAAAACAAAAATGATAGATAACAAAACAAAATGGTAGATAACAAAACAAAATGGTAGATAACACAAATAAAATAACAAAGAAATATCCCCCCGCCCCCCCAAAAAAAAGAAGAAGAAGAGAAGTAGAAAGTAACACTATATGATTGCAATAAAAATAAAAATGCATATTATTAGATCCTGAATAATAAAACAATAATAATACTATAAAAGAACACGACACCTCCACACACGTTTGTTTGTGAATATAACAATTTTACATTTGAATATAGCCAACATATTTTTTCATATGAATCAACCATACAATGCCAAAATTTCACACATTCAATTTGGGGAGCAGCATTTCACTTGACAAACGCCTTTGTTATACAAAACGTCGTTATTCATTCGCCCCAACAAACTCATGAGAGAAGTGCCACAAGACAATGTTGCCGTGACATTTCAGTTAACATTGTACAAACAAAGATTCTCATAACAGCACAATAATTCACGCGAAAGATAACATTTCGAGGCTTATGAATAAGGTTAATGAGACTTTAAATTTCCCAATATTTCTCCCCTCTCTCTTGCATTTTCAGTTAACACTGTAAAAACAAAGATTCTCATACCAGCACACTAATTCACGCGAAAGATAATATTTTGAGGCTCATGAAAAACATTAATCAGACTAAAATGTTCCCAGTATTGTTTCCCTCTTTCTAGCATCATCACGTATAACAGACGCGCCCCCCCCCCCCCAGAAAAAAAATATATGTTCGATGCGCGATTTGTTCGAATCAGAATCGAGCGGTTACACACATGCGCGTACAAAAACACTGGGCAGATATATGCTAGAAAGAAAAAATATAATTATTGCATAATTAGATAAAGTGTAAAATTAAACTTCATTTACTTCAGTTGTTGAAACTGTACTGGGATTGGTGTTTGAAGCCCTGCTTTCACGAGATTTGCGAACATGTTCTCTGATTGCGTTTCGAACCTGTTGTAATAAAACAAAATCACAATAATAGAGACTTTCTGTTTGATTTCATGTTAAAGGCTAAATCGGAAACGCCATATCGTGTGCACTGTCTGTCTTGCCTGTTTCGAGGAGTTGCACATATTTACTGTGGACTATCGGACACTCGCAGTTTTGAAGAATTTCTTTCCTTAAATAGGCGGTTGGGAGATCAATATTCGAATATTATTTTGTATATAGCCTACTTCTAATACAAAATCCACGATGAAATTAACTTGCCTTTATACACTAAACACGAATTACAAGCAGAATATTGTGGGGCGTAAGATTTACATTTTTGCCTGTTGCATCATAGCTATCCTTTCTCTACGATAACGCCCATCTTTACTTCTTTACAGAGCGAATTCGAAATAAAACTGTTTTGAGTATCTGATGCCAGCTATGATTTCATTACATACCTCCGAATTGAGAAAGCAATAGAGCCATGCGACGAAGAACCCCTGCAAGGAAACAACAGAAATAATCTACTTTAGTACGATACATGCACAGCACTAAACTTAGATATGAACGTCTCGTAGTAGTAAAACAAAATGAAAAATACAAGTAAAAATGGTAAAGGCACATATGCCCGTGCATGGTTAAAATCATATTTGAGTACTGATAAGACCATTACATTAAGAAGGCAGAAATTATCTAGGACCTAATGTGCGTTGATTGCCTGTAAGGTTTTTGAAAATAACGAACGAAAAATTCTTGTCAGATGGAAAATCAGTGCACACAAACATGGTACGGCAGTACAGAAATTAGTAGGATCAAACTTTGGTCCAAAGATATGATATATTTAGTTATTTGGAATTTGAGAGAAATGACGTAAAATTGTCAATATGATATTTTCCCTTATTGTGAAATGGTATGTTAAATATTTCAAATTTTTTATTTTCACTTCTACAGAGCCAAAGAGCTCAACCTTCTCTTTAAAGAAAAAGGTAGGGTTATCTTCGTTTTATCGGCCCCGCCCTCTCTCTCTTTCTTTTAGTGCTCATTTTGTTTACATTAGAAATCAAAATCATCATAACACTGACATCATAGTGATTACTACGCCAAGTTATCTCTGATAACCTATATAAGATACCTGAAGAGAATTGAGCAGGTTGAAGGTGTATTCCAACGCCTTGACGTGAGGGAAAACTGCCACTACAGGTGTCAATATCCAAGCGATACCAAGCAGGGGGAAGAGCAACAAAGTGCTCCGAAGTCCAGCTCTGAAAAGTAGTGACAAAATAATTTACACAGTGATTTTACATATATATTACAAAAAACCATCGGAACCCACCTATCCAAATCGAGACCCAAGTTTAAGACCATATCCGAACTGAAAAATGAAATGGATGAATTATATATCAGCGGAAAACTTATAAGCAACAAATTACAATAATATCAATTATATGCAATTTTAGTGTCTGTCAGATGAGTATGAGCTCTCTGAAAACTCGAAAACTAAAGCTTTGAAAATCGGAAGATATCGACCTAAAAAACTTGCCATCGACTTGATGATATCATTTTATGCAGAGTACGCCTATTCACAATGGCTTTGCATTAATTAAGCCTCAGCAATAAAGGTGAACAGATGGGTTGCACATGTTATGTCGTCACTGTAATTTCGGAAAATTTGACCCCTGTTGACCCTTAATTTGGAGGGGTGTGAAAAATGAGGTTATAATTTACTTTTGTGCAATAATAAAAGATAAGTTTATATTCTACATTCATTCAGTTTTCCGTTTACCGTATATCAAGTTGTATTTTCATCGGATAAGGTCTTTCAAATAGTACCCACACACACCTATCGAAACCCACGCACCCGCACATATGCTAACCCACACACATATATCCAAAACCACACACACATACACACCAGGCACGTAGCCAGAGTTCGATGTTTGGGGGGCACATACATGTAATCGATCGAGGTAAAAAAAAGGGATCTAAAAAAGTTCAACCGATCTTGGAAATTTAAGGGGGCGCGTGCCCCCCCGTGCCCCCGTGCCCCCCCCCGTGGCTACGTGCCTGATACACACACTCACACACACACAAACCGACTCACACCCTTCCAAACCCACACACATGAATCTACAAACACACTCACACACATTCGTCAACCCCTAATGAGCCAATATCCAATGTATATCAAGCAATCCGAGGAGAAACGGAGGGCTCCAAATATCAGCTCTGAATAAAAACAAAATGATTTGGCAAAATTACATGAAGAAAGAATTTAGAACTGAATATAGAGGCGTAAGCCTGCGTTTATAATAATTCATAAGTAAGTATACATAATTTAGAGGATTTACTCCGAAAAAAAACATTTACGTAATCGAGACAAAAGGTAACGCAAGAACATATCGTAAATGAAAACATTTCTTAAAATGTAATTAGGTTATTACTTGATTTGCTTCATCTTATCGTTGTCAAGTTGACCTCGAGATGCAGACACAACTGTCTTTACAACCAGTAGGAGAATAACTACGTTGACCTAGAAGTGGAAATAAATTATACATTTTAAATAATTTTCTTGCTAATGATAAAATTATAATAACTATATATATATGTATTATTGCAGACACAAGGCAAGCTTCTAACGTTAAATTTTTAGTACTAAGGACTGTTAACTTGTTTTTCTTTTGCCGACGATCATGCTTAGGATAAAATTGTATTCAGATATCACGATGCGACGATATAAAAAAACGTAGGCCTCAAAATTCAAAACATGCATAAAATATAAAAATGAACGAGATTTATATTTCGATTAAATATATGCCTTTTTCCTTTGAAAAAATCTCCTTTACTCACTGAGCAATAAGTGTTGCAATCAAACAGAGATAACGAGCATTTTGCTACATTGAACTTCTATTTTATAATGTAAACTCATGGTTTCAAGTGCGCATTTGCAGTACTTCCACAGTTTGTTTTTTACGTAGTATATATTAAAATACGGCGGGGTAAAATATAACATTTTTGTTATTTGAAAAGTTGCAGCTGGTGATTGAAAGAGCTGCTTAGTTTCAATTGAGAGGAAAATTGTAGACTTTGTTTAAGAGTGCTGTATTTGTACAATTTAAAACGCAAAGTTGAACCATTATAAAAGGGAGCCATAATTTTACGATTTATTAGCTGCTATTTTCTGTTGGAGTGCAAACTGTTATAGGGCCCCGCTCACAAGCTTAGCTTCTAAAGGGGTCCTAAAAACATTCAGTTAATGATGTAATCAAGTTAGAATATGTTGATTGGTGTACTATTACCAGTCTCTTTTTTAAGTAACAGATTATGTCATGCTTTGTGTGGTTTTGAATAAAATGAACTGAACTGAACTGAAACGTGAGCCCTATTTGAGAGTGCAGCTGCTATATGTTCGTTTGAAACGTAAAAGGACAACCAACCCTTGTAATAACTTTACTTGTATAATGACAGAAAATATGAGAAACTGAATGGCTAAAGTGATATAAATTAAACCAATAAGATAGGAATTATTAATGTATGAAATATGATATTAATCAATCTATGCAAATCTCAAATTCAATATTTCTTCCCTGGATTGTGACGTAGCATTTAAAAACTCACTCATTAGTCGTGTAAACAAAATTAAAATCAATTTCTGGTTTTTTTTGTGTGTGTCAGGTGCCTTTTCCTTTGGGGCACTTGTCAAAATATATCATGGGTTACATACTCTTTATCATACACTAATGAAATAAATTGACACTTTAGAAAATTTTCGTATTGAAAAAATAGAGGAAAGTTATCCGCCACTACACCACAGTGACATAACTGCTTTGGCCATTTTAAACTTCCAATGCGTCTAGCGATAACAACTTTAAAATATCAAGACTTTCTTCTTTTTTGTTCGATGTCTTACAAACTTTTACCGGTCAGGATCTCTGATATGTTTCCATTACTTTATACTAGTTGTATGTTGAGGTTGGATTTTTTTTCTTTAAAATCTATAGTGAAGAACGTGGTGCCAAACAACAAGATAATGTGGAAAACATTATTCTAATATTCTCTTATCGGTATTTTGGAGGAAATTACCCAAATCATCTTTAAAGGTTAATCATGATACTAATATCTAGGCTTTTCAAGCTTCCGTACAACCCAAAATAAAAAATAAAGAATAAAAACACCGCATACTAAACCCCCCCCCCCAAAAAAAACAAAAACAAAACAAAACAAAAAAAAAACAAACAAAAAAACAAAAACAAAACAAAAACAAACAAACAAAAACAAATTAACAGATCACACACTATTACGAGTTTCTTACGAGTACGATTGCAATAGCCGGGCCAGTGAATGCCCAGATTGTCCCATCTGTTGGATTCAGCCAGCAACTGTATTTTAAATTGGAAGATAAAGATAAAACTTTTACTTCAATTATGCAAAGTTTAAGTTGATTGCATTCAGTTTGGGTACCTTTGTAAATATTTGTCACTTGAACGATAATATTACAAGGCAACTGATTTCCGTGGACTAATATATATATATATATATATATTGATAATAATAGTTTTTTCAATAAATTATACTCACCTTCGTTCATAGCCATAGCTTTGATGCTTTACGCCTCCAGTTATGATGAGTATCACGGCTGGACCACCTTCAAAAGAAGGAAATAGTATGGTAGATTGCAAATGGCGGATGTGATACTTTGATTATATACATGTAGGTTAAATTAAAGCCGAACTATATTACTTTAACAACCAAATCACTGTAAAGATTCATTATTAGCTTAGTTTTAAGTAGCAGTGGGTATTGATTTGCCTCTAGCAGCGTTGTCTAGTAAAACCGTCTTTCATTTGAACTTACCCCGCCGTAAAATGCCATGAAACAGATTCGAATACGTGAACTGTACAGTGCGTCCCAGAAGAAATGAAACCGAGAGTTATCAATGTTTTATCATAAAGTAATGACAATTATATTAAATAAATGACACATATTTGTAAAGCTTAGACCTTCCTCTTTCTTTTGATGCAACTCATATGATGCATATTTCACGCATGAGGGGTTAAAACAATTTAAAGACAGAGAGTACCAAAAGGTCGTTTGGCGGGCGGTATCTGAATTCCAAAGAGAAAATCATTTTCTAGAAAGTTCATTTTCTGTTTTTTAAAATAACACCTCGATCGGAAGAAGTTATGCTACGTTTACACTATGTTCCCGGCAGCCACGGCAGCCCCGTTTGCCCGAAACGTAGTGCGCCGTGGGATTTAGACCAATTTTATCTCTGGATTCAAGTTTTGTTACGGCCCGGTCACTCAAAGGAGACGCATGGAGAACGCACGGCCAGCGCATTGGAAATTTGCAATTTTGGCCAGTGCGTTGTCGTGCGCCCAACTTTTCTCGAAGCTACAACGAGCTTGACATCAAATGCATAGCGTGTTGATAGCGCCCTGAGCGCATACAGGGCGCATACAGACCGTACACACAGCGCACATGATAATAACTTCCACGAATGCACCGCGTTCTCAACAGAGGTGGTCACACATAGACGACGCACGGCCGGCGCATTGGAAATCCGAAAAAGGCCGCGTGCCTAAAGGCCCGGTCACACAGAGGAGACGCGTGGGGAACGCACGGCCAGCGCATTGGAAATTTGCAATTTTGGCCAGTGCGTTGTCGTGCGCCCAACTTTTGTCGAAGCTACAGCGAGCTGACACCAAATGCATAGCGTGTTGCTAGCGCGCTGAGCGCAAACAGGGCGCATACAGTGCGCATACAGACCGTACACAGAGCGCACATGAAAACAACTTCCACGAATGCACAGCGTGTTGCTAGCGCGCTGGACGAATGGTCCACGCATGCACCGCGTTCTCAACAGAGGTGGTCACACATAGACGACGCACGGCCCGCGCATTGGAAATCGGAAAAGGCCGTGTGCCTAACTTTTGTCATGATTTTGGAAAAGCTAGCGAGCTGACACAAAATGCACAGCGTGTAGCTAGCGCGCTGTGCGTATACAGGGCGTGTGCTCCACGTATGTCTGGCGCTGGTCTAGCGCGCTCCACGCATGTCTGGCGTGCCTTTGGCGTGTACAAATCCCGACGCACACAGCGAATGACGACGAATGCATAGCATGGGTACAGCGCGCTCGACGAACGAGTAACGAATGATGACGCACGCCTAGCGAACGACAACGCACTGGCCCAAATTGCAAATTTCCAATGCGCTGGACATGCGTCAGCAAAGTTTTCTCACGGTCTACCACAGTATCCGTGAAGGGCCGTAGCGGGGAAGGGGATGCTGAGTCCCGGAGGCTCCAAGGCGCACTACGGTTCGGCCCGCGTTCTACAACGGATGCCAGACCGTTCCCTCCCGGCTCGTCACGTTCTGATGGGTTACCTCACGTTCTGATGGGGTCCCTCACGTTTCTCACTTTCTGATCAAGTTCTGACACATTTTTCACGTTCTTTCAAGGCTTTCTACGGATGAAACGTGGACGCCGGGCAGCTTTGGAGCACGATTGTGCCCACGGTATAAAAAGAAGGTCTTCCAAGCACTACATGACGGAGGGCCTTCGAACGTCTTGGCTTCTTTGGTGGCATAGCTTGACCTTGTTTCTTTGTTTTGTAGATGCAGTAATGTGTCGTCGATTGCTCAAGCTTGAATGGAGCTCCTGCCGCGCTAGTCTTGTATATACTGCCTCCCGACCGCGTGCGCCGTGTCAGACCGGACGCAACGCGCCACGCCCGTAAATCGTCAGACGCCGGGCTGCGCAGTGATTAAACGCGATAAAAAGGCTACCATACACCCTGGCCTGCCGTGAGAATCCTGGAAAACCGTGGCAAACCGTGGCAAACCGTGGCAAAACGGGACGAAATGCGCAGCAACCATGAAAGAACTGTGACAAAACGTGCACCAAACGTGGCAGAACGTGGCAAAACTTGAAAAGACCGTAAGATGCCAGGGAATATGCGGCCTCCCGTCCCACTACGGACCACCTCCAAGTTTTTTTACGGCCTACTATGTTTCCCATCGGCACCGTGACTGCCGTGGCAATTTTTTGACAGTTTAAAATCTGACACGGTATCCACGGCAATCACGGCCTGTCACGTTTGCCCATACGGTCCCTCGCGTTGTGTCACGTCAATCCCGTTTCGTCCACGGTGGCCTGAAACGTACGTGGCCGCCGGGAACATAGTGTAAACGTAGCATTAACCAGTTGACTTTAAAGTAATGCTTGCATTTCCATGATTTGATTGAATGAATTCGTTTTTTACTGGCTCCCTGCCGTAGCAACAAACAGAGTTGACAAAGGACTTAACTCCGTTTCCTTAACCATCAGCCACGCATCAAGTCTTTCGTCTTTTTTGTGCATGGCTGATCGTCAACGAAACGAAGTTAAGTTTTTAACGCAGAATGCAGTTCTTGATGCAGAAATATGGCACCATATAAATGATGTGAGTGATAATCATCAACTTACCCCATCCTAAGATTCCATAAACCCAAGTTCGAGGATTACCAGAGTCAAAAACTTGGATGATTTGACGATAGAGGTGTACACCTTCGACAAGCATCCAGAACATCAATGCTAGGGAGAAGTAGTGCAGGATGAAGGCATATGCCTTGCATGCATACTATACAAGGGGTTCACATAAGAGATAAGATATAATGCGGGCAGAATTGAGACGCATACATAATTATGTACAAAACTATCTTAGATTTGTTAAATTCCTTGAATCATTTGAATAAACTAGAAAATGATTGCAAGGAGGAGTCATAAGGGCTGAACGAAACCCATGGCCATGACGTCCCTTTCTTTAAGGAATTGTTGGGAGCAATATAGCGATGATAAAATAGACAAGTGTATTTTTTCCAAAATGTATACTATGTCCTACCTTTTTGTATAGTTCTGGAAAGGTTTATAAAAGTGTAACATATATACACTGATTAAAACAATATTAATAACCTTTCTTGAGTGTTCACTTCTTAACTTTGATTGGTTTCATAATCATTCTTTAGATAGTGAAGACGTGACGAAAGATTATCCAATGAAAGTAATTTATATGTTCAATATATAATACTAAAAATGTACACAAATAACGTGAGATAAATATTTTGCGTCGCGTTTTTGTTGTTCTTCGTTTAATGCCTTCCTTTGATGAAATTAACTACAAAGGTTTCAAAAACAGTCTCTGCCGGGAATAACACCAAGGTCTTTGGTTGCGTACACCAAATCCTTTAACAGCTTGACCACGGAGACAGGTAAAAAAAAAGTGGTTTTTTCGGCTACACCAGATACAACCATTTTGACACACTCAGCATATATATATATATATATATATATACATGTATATATCCACACAAAAAAGAAATTGGACACTATTTGTAGTTAAGATTTTCAAATAAATATAAATGAATATAAATTATTCCCAGTTAAGATGATATGCAATTGGATTCATACCACTCACGCTTGAGTGAGTATCTGAAAGATAATTTCAAAAATGGGGCATCTGACCACTCAAATTGTGATGAGCATTGGAAGTGTCACACGGCTCGTCCACGATCTCGGGTGGAAAGGAGAGGCATCTTGACCGTGCTTGTCAAATCCATGCAGTCCTTAGACTACATCTGACATCAAGAGCTCGACCCTCCTCATCGTTTCTCATTCTTTTCCCCCTTTAAACTGTTGAGCAAGACTGTCTTACAGATGCACATGTTCATTAGTATTTGAATGGCTACTTGCTCTATTTTGTGCTGTTGCATTCTTCTTAATCAGATCTACTAACCATTAAATGAATGTGGCGATCCAAGCGTGAAAATTCGAAGCTTGATTTTAATTGATGTTGGTAGAGTATTGATATTTCTTTAATTTGAAATGTACTTTTATACATTTTTAAGATGAAAGAGTGTCTATTTCTGGTATTTATTTAATATTATAGTTGAATGTAGCACATGGCTTTAATAAGGAAAACAAGGGAAATGGATAGCCTTCCAGAAATCTCAGAATACAAAAATAATAAAGATTACCTCAATTTCAATAGGATTGATGCCGGCAAAGAAGATGATATCGACAAACAGAATGGCGACCATCAAGTTGGCATGAATTATAACCCGGTCAGCTGTCAACGATCGTCTATGTATAAAGTGAAAATTAGACCCGATGATTTACAGAAAGTTTTTATTCGAGTTAAAGAAATTTATGATTGTTTATTGGTTTACAAAGCATGTTATTCATATTATATCCATGGCACAGAGAAGGAAAAAAGTGTTCAATTCACCTTTTTTCAATTATAGATTTGAAATGTAAATTTATTTTTTTAACCTACTGTGTTATAGGGTTACAAAACAACTATGTATAATTTCGACCTCTGGTCAAATATAATAATAATAATAGCCTAATAGTCCACTCCAAATTTTATTAAACAGAAACGGAAATTCTTTTTGCCCATTTGATCGTGAGCCCGGCAGCCACTGAGTAGCGCCAGATCGACGTTGCTCTATACCTTATTGTTGAACGCCAAACAAGGTAGCAACAACTCCCATCTTTTAACGTCTTTTGGTATGACGCGGCCGGGGTTCTTTGAGGAAAATATATTATGAACGTATCATGCCTTGCACCTTTGATTCTGAGCATGCACAAAGTGCACACAATGAGTGCAAAAAACGTACCTTCTATAGTATGTGGGAATTTACGGTCAGTGCCCGATCATTTCATTTCATTACACGTAATTGTTTTCATTTCAAACAGAATACAAATATCACAACAACAACAAAAAAGTATATTAGAATGAATAAAAGAATATGCATTGGGTTTATTTTTTCTTCTTGCTAAATCGGGAAACATGCTACGTAATTTCTTTTTGTCTAATATGTATATTTTAACACAAAATAAACCACTATCCATTTTAGATTTGAATTACATGAAAAAATGATACATAAATTATTGAAATCGCCCAAGTTATACTGGGTTGTCAACCATTAAAAACTACAAATTCCTTGATATTTTTACCTGAGAATAAAGAACGTAATCAGACTGATAACGAGTGACGTCACAGATAATCCAAGGCCAACCCAGGTTAGAATATCACTGATGATATCTCCATCCTAAAAAGTATTGTTCAACAAATAGCTTTCAACGTTATTAATACTCTTGGTATAAAATAGATATATATATATATATATATTTGTGTCGAAGACAAAATATTATAATTGACTTTATATCTGTAAGACTAATTCACTCATTTTGTCAAAATGTATCCCTGTCAAAAACTATTATCATGGGAAAAAGCGTTTAGGATAAGCACAATGCAGGTAAAGGGGAAATATTTCATACTTTTTGAAATATCGTTGCATCTTAAGGGATAATTTCGATTATTTTCTTATTAAAAGATATGAATATTCTCACAATTAACTCGCCAATATAAAATTTATACGTTGTAATGATAAAAATCATTAATTCAAATAGCGCATACTTACATATCAGAATCTCTCTTTAATCAACAGCTAACCAACTGTGGAGAATTATAGTTAAATGTTATACACGTTTGTGAAATGATAAGCTCTAATATATAATATATACATCATGATTATATCTTACCAGCTCACTCGGCAGCAAACTCACGAGAATGGCAAAGCTGGTCATGTGATCACAGTAGCATGACGTCATATTCACGTTCTCCATAGAGGTTTCTCGACAGCCGGTGGAACTCCATTTTCTTTAAAAAACATAGCACACGAGTAATGTGACCAGATGAAAACAATTTACATAATTTTATTTGGACACAGTTATAATATTTGTTTGCATTGTTTGCGAGAGTGCAAAAATCGACTTGCGCCAAAGTTGCTTATGTGATGTTTGAATAAAACAATTGGGATTTGGGTATTAATTCGGTCTTTGCAGATCCAAATAATATCCCTAACAAAGTTATTCATGCCACGCATATCAAATATCGAATATCAAATATCAACGAACGTTTGTGCGCTTGTGTGTGGGACTGTGGGTGCGTGTGACTTTGCCCTTTGCAAAATGCATATGAAATGCATTTCATTTGATACATTCATTTCATTCTCTCACTAATAACATAATACATACTGCAGACATCACTTTGGCGCAAGTCGAATTTTGCACTCTCGCAAACAATGCCTCCTGTTCATCCAAGCGTGAACACATACCACACAAAAATGGTACCAATTGATTTGGGATAAAACACTCTTTCATAAAATGTATAATAATTTACGATTCATACATGATTTTAAAAAATAATTAGCAATTTTCTGGGAGTAAACTTTTTTTTGACTCACACGGTAGTAATTGGGTATTATTATTATATCAAAAATAACACTTTATTTCATTTTCTGAAGCAGTATTTTAATTATTATACAGAAACAAAATCCTCTTTGTATTTAGCTTATATTTCGCTTATAAACAAATCAAGGATAACGATGTGGAAAGGGACAATGTACGTTTTTGTTGTATAAGATTGTACTTCATTTCAAAATTAAAAATAATTTAAAGAAAACATGATTGTATGTGCCTTTTGGTAAAAAAAAAAAAATCAGTTGCATTTGCGTTAACATATTTGGTTTATTGTTGTTTAGCTCGTAAAAGAAATTACAAGTCATATCCTAAACATAATCGCAAGAACCTTTGAGAATGTAAAAACATGACGAAGAAGAAAAAGAAGAAAAAGAAGAAAAAGAAAAAGAAAAAGAAATACGATCTATCAAATCTTATGATATCAATTCCACATTCCCTAAATATTCTGGAGATTATTTTGCCCTATCGTACGTATTTTATTATATGTTAGCAACAAAGATATCTCCACTTCATGAAACAATGAGGAATAATTATTATATGAAGTGTGAAGATATCAATTTATTAATGTTATTTATTGGTTTATTGTTGTTTAACTTGTAAAAGGATGATACATGTCATATTCGCACCATAATCGCAAACACCTTTGATAATGTAAAATATGATGAAGAAGAGAAAGAATTACGATCAATCAAATCTTTTGATATCAATTTCACATTCCTTATATAATCTGGAGATTATATTGCCCTAGCCTACGTATGTTATTATCTTTTAGCAACAAAGTGATCTCCATTTCATGAAACAATGAGGAATGGTAAATATATGAAGTGTGAAAATATCAATTTATTAATGGAACAAGTACATATAGAAATCAAATGAAAAATATTTTCGAAAATTATTTGTGATAGCCATTCATGAATGAACCTGCATTCAATCAGCATATGTACGAGATTTATTGTATTATTACCAATGCTCCTTCTCTCCCCTTTCCTTTTCTGCTCTGCAAGTCAGTCTTTTCTATTTGTATTTGTTATTGTTATTGTATCTAAGTTGAGGGCTGCGGGCACAAGCTACTTTGCTTATTTCTGTAGCCCTCCTGCATCTAATTTATGTTAATTATGCATTCAATATATTTGTTTAAATTTGTTTATTATCTGTATAAAATTATATACATTTAAAATACTGTATCAAACCATATTATGTTCATGAAAATGTATGATGAAAAAAGAAAAAAGATGCAGAAACCAATAAATCAAATCAAAGTCAAATCAAATAACATGATATTATTGCCTTCTAAATGATACCTGGTCTTTATATCCCAGAAGCTGCATGTTGGTGAAAAGTATTTCTGACCGATCATCTGCAGTGAAATAGAAGGAAAAGTGATAAATAAATGCTAATATTACACTGGCAATTTGCGATTGTATGAAGAATTTCCTGTAGAATATGAGTTCATGTGATATTTCCCCAATTTTGGGGTCCTGAACACAAATCTACCTGTTGTCATTTCTAAATGACGTCTTCAGTTGTTGCCATATTAAAGCATTATATTCATTAACATGACTTATATTTCAATTCAATTTTCAATAAGTGCCTATGTATACATATTTCCAGCTACCCTTTTGACATTACTAAACAATATGAGTCTTCCCAGATCATAGGTATGCTTAGATATTGCGGTTGCCATGGTAACGCCTGTATTTTTAGAAAATATAAAAATCTATAATAATGAAAAAGCATGTATAACTGTCGAAATATATTCATTTTATTCCAAATGTTTGATTACCACTATGAGCTTGATTATTTTAGGTTATATTTTTGAAGAAATATATATCTAGGTATCTGAACATAACCAAAATACAAAACAAATGTCTAGATATGAATGATTGTTTTCAATCGAGATAAGGGTTTTAAGGTACCAGTCACGATGGTACGAAAATGCCTGACAGAAGGGTTGATATGACATGACAGATTTATTTTGTTCAGCGAAATTGTATAGATTAAAGATCCCGAGGTACTCACTGTAGAGTGGATAAGAGTAAAGCTGAAAGGAATAGACACCAACTCGTGACCAATGAATACAGTTGCCGTTATGACATTACTCGCAACTCGAAGGTTGACATCATTATTGCCGGTGGTGGCGTTGTTAGCTGTCTTGTTATTAAGGAGGTCAGCAAGACGTGCGGACGTAACAATCCCTATAGTAACAGGCAGCTGGTCATTTCCATCTGCAGAGGGTGAGAAATCCATTTAAATTAAATTCCATTTTAGTGCACTCAAAACGTAACAAGGTTATCATATCTTCTTCCTAGAAATGTTATAATATTCGTTGGTTTTTAGGATAGGTATTAGTCACATTTGCCGCGGCGGCTGTGGGGTCTAAGATATCTACGGCCAATAGCAATTATAGGGCCGCCGCAGCATTTCCACGGTCACATACGGTAGCAGTCACATATGTTAGGGAAGCATCACGGCGTATTTTGAATTTCTCAGAGACAGAAAACCTACGGCTCCCGTACGGCCTTTCAAGTGATGACGCATGGTCGTTTAAGGGCGTCCCTGCGGCGGCCGTAGGTTATTGACAAATACCAAGGCAGACACAAGGTAGCCATAATGCCACCGTACATCGTACACCGTACGCCCGTATGGTTGCCGTGGAAACTTTCTACGGCATGGCTAAGGTGTGTCTTATTGTCTTATTGCTACGGCGAATCTAGAAATGAAAAACTCAGCGTTATAATCCCACGGCGATCTGCACCGCCTGTAACGATAGAGATACGCCCTAGGGTTACCCTGAGGCAATCGCAGATTCTCT